ATCGAGCGCAGAGCGGCTCGAATCGTCGACGACCGAGTGCTTTCCGATCGGCTCGATTCACTGGCGCTGCGAAGAGATGTTGCATCTCTTTGCATTTTCTTTCGCATATACCATGGAGAGTGCTCTGAGGAATTGTTCGGATTAATCCCAGCCGCCAAATTTCGTGAACGCACTACGCGGCAAACGTCGCGATACCATCCACATCATCTGGATGCTTGGCGGTCCACCACTGTACGTTTCAAGAGGAGTTTTCTTCCGCGTATAACCTCTCTGTGGAATAGTGTACCACCAGCGATTTTTCCGGACCGATACGACCTGGGGACCTTCAAGAAAAGAGCGTACTCCTTTCTAAAGGGCCGGCAACGCACCTGCAATTCCCCTGGTGTTGCGGTTGATCATGGGCGGCGGTAGTCACTTAACATCAGGTGAGCCGCATGCTTGTTTGCCCCCTCTTCTATAAAAAAAAAAACCATACACATTTCGTAAATATAATCTGTTAACTATAATATCTATATATGTATATTTTAGACATAATAATATGTACATTTACATTCAAAAACCAAAATATTTTTCCAATAAAAGAAACAACTATTATTAACATGCAAAATAGGGAACAACATTACTTACCTTCATCCAGAAATAAAATGATAAATTGCAGCCAATACTAACAAAAACATTTCACAACAAAACGGAGCATTTTTTAAAATTATTCTAAGAAAGCGCTTAGCTACAAACTGAACAAGACTGGCCGAACGTCGAAGGAATTGAATAATGCAATTTTGCAGCAACAGCCCATATATTGCAGCAATACTCCATGCGCGACTGGATTTTCGCTTTTATATAAAGTAAGCAGCTGTCCCGGCGTGAAGTATCGCCGTACTTTTGCAAGGACTACTAGATTCCCTGCAGCTGCTTTGGCCTTGGACTCAATGTACCGCCCGAAGTTCAGATTTGAGGATATCTCCCCCCCCCCCCCCAGCAACTGGTTGCGGTCGGTGTATTCCAGTGATACATTTCGGAAAGAAGAAGCCAAGGTGAGCTGGCACCTTTTTGCAGTGAAGAGACACGGTTCTATTTTGGAGCGTTGAATTTCACAAGCTTAGTATCGCCCCATTCGTGGACTGCCTGTAGTGGGAAACTCACACGCTCTACCATAGCTTCTCTTTCGGACTGAATTTGATCCCGAAGACTTTTTCTGCCCCGACGACTTGGTTGGTATCTCTTCACAACTGTGCTGTCGTCTGCGTATCCATAGATACCGGGTCTAAGCAAATCATTAATATGCAGCAGGAAGAGTAGCGGAGGTAACGGACCCCCGAGGAACACCAGCGTTAGTCGTCACAGGATCGGATGAGCGGCCATCGACGACGACCCGAAGAGACCGTTCACTCAGAAAGCGCTTTACCCAGTTAATCAGATCAGGGGATAACACGTACGCTGGAAGCTTATCCATAAGGCTAGCGTGCCAAACTCTGTAAAAGGCCTTCGAGACATCAAGGGAAACAGCAAGTGCTGCTCCACTGTTCTTGAATGCCTTGCCCCATACGTGTGTGGCATACGCTAGAAGGTCCCCAGTTGACTGATTTCGGCGAACCCCGTATTGCCGGTCACTAAGGAGGTCATTCTGTTCTAGGTACGCCATTAAGCAGGCGTTCAATATACACTCCATAGTCTTGTAGCCGTATGGAGGTAATTGAGATTAGCATTAAAGTTTGAAAAGGTAAGAAAGATGGATTTCTCAGAAACCGGTCTTCTGAACGATTTTTTTGAAGGTGTTTAGAGTAGGCACTAAAGCTTGCTTTTCACTATGGGATATATTGTAATTTATATCACATCTCGAGATATAATTTAATATCGCTCACCGTACTTTCAAATGGAACCGTTTATACTGAGATATAATATATATAACATCTCAAATTATAAATATTTTTTCGATCTACCTATGTCCTCAACTTCGTAGCTGCTGTCTATCATTACTTGAGTAAACTTGTGCGTAATGCATAGTATACTCATTTGTATCCGTAACTTTTCTTTATCCAATTCATTAAAAAGTCTAAATTCCGCATATTCCTCTGTAAATTTTGTATGATTTGATATCAAGTAACAACACTCCCTGTTTTTACTTTAAAATAACACACGTAAATCGAATTCTGCATCATCTTCCTCTGATTAACTGTCGAGGCTATCTAGCAAAACAAAATCCATTTTGTTTGCAAGACAATTTTGTTTGTAAACGACGCGTGCGATGTGATCCAGTGAGGAAAGCACAAAAGATATATCTCACAGTGTTAAAGCCAAGCGCGGGATATACTTGTAATTTATATCTCGGGATATAATATATATTATATCCCACAGTGAAAAGCGAGCTTTAGGAATAGATTTTTGTAAATTAAACAGCATATAGCTGTTGTCCATACAGATTTAGGTTGTCCACGTTCTTGGGGCATGGGCTGGCAAAGCAGTTTTGAATTAAAACCCAATCCTATCATTATGAATTATAACTTATTTGACGTGCGTACAAAATTAGATTTTCACAATCATATGACATCCATTTGCAAGTCAACTAGTAATACTTTGGGTTTTGTGACTGCTGCTGACTTTGATGATATAAGAGTGGCTAAAACTTTTTATAATGCGTATGTTCGGAGTAAACTAGAGCATGCAGCTGCGGCCTGGAATACTTATGAGAATAAGTGTAGGTACCTATCATATAAGAGAGAATACAACGTAAATTTGTTACCATTATTTGTATCCTCCTCCTATTCGTTTTGGGTATGATTGATTTAGAAACCCTAATGTTTAGGAGGGTGATGTCAACTATTAGGGATTATCTTTTTATAATTCACCACAAGTTGGACTGCCAGTCGGTTGTGGAGAAAATCGGCTTGTTGGTGCCCAGGTGGCTCCACGCCGTAGGCCGCGTCTCTTAGACAGACCAGTTACACGTACCAAACGTGCTGCCTATGCACCAACAAATCGAGCATTGACACTAATAGGGGACATACTCACTCAACACGATGAAATTGACATATTTGCAGACAGTATGACACGTCTTCTGACTCTTTTTTTAATAAAATTATTGATAATAAGACAATTAATAATTCGACAATTTAATTTGCTTGACTATGTACTACTTATTAGTTTGAGATGTAATTTTAATTATGGGCATATATTGTAATTAGCTTTTATTGACGTTACATTATAAATTGATTTGACAAAATATTTCATAGCCTGACATTGTATGATTGCCATCCTTTTTCTTTTTTAAACTTTGTACAATTATTAATATTTTATTGTTTATTACTATTTTAATTTCTCAACAAGGGCTGTTAAAGGCTTAGAGATTTTATATCACTAATATTGTATAATTGTTTAATTTATGATTATTAATTTTAATTATTAATTTATAAGTGATAACTATTAATTTTTGTTGTTATAATCGGATGCATTTTTTTTTTAAATATTTGTATGTAAAATTTTACCTTGTGTGCTTGTTAGATTTTCTGTAAGTCACAAGAGTTTTTGAATTAAATAAATAAAGGGCAACTAATGGACCGAACCGATTTTAAATTGGTAATTTCTTCCTATAAAATAACGAAAACCCTACTATAAATGGCACGCAAGAAATTGCCGTAAATTCTGTTACGGCAGCCGATTGATGTAAAATAGGGCAATTATCTTAGCAATAACAGTCCTAAAATTTCGCAACGTGATGCATCAGCGTATTGTTAAGAATTTTGCGAACAAAATACACATCAGAATAGGACTATGGACATAAATTCCTTTCTCCTAAATCACTGTTTATTTAAAAATGAAGTGGTAAATAGTTTTTTTTTTGGAGTTTATGGCCTGGTTTCTACCTTTAGGCCAGTAAATAGTTTTATTTAGTGTACAGTGTAGCCAGAAGGCTAGATTTCTTATATTATACGTAAATTTTTATTAAACCATAAATCGAATACATTTTCTTACTAAATACATGAACAATTCTTAGGTACATTTATGAACTTTTTGAAAAATTATATTGATTCCTTATCAAACCTAGTTTGAGACAACTTCGGAATTGACAAATATAAATTTGATATCCCGCGTGGATTGCTTTTATTCATTTAGTAAAATCATTTAGCACGTATTTTCATTCTACTTTCCGTACATAAATTGCATTTAGAGCCTCAATTTTTTGAAATAGTTTGCTTACATGTTTTAGATGTTTTTTAATATAATAACTTATTTAAATATTTTTGTACGTGGTAAAGCCACGCTGCAACTATATTATGGTTGTAGTCGGCTCAACCGAGGCAAGACAACGCTTTCACAAGTATACCAGCGTAAATTAGCAGTTCAGTGCTGCTGTATTTCGTATGGTAAGTGTATAGAACCGGAGACCCTTTTTATTGGAAACAAGGCATTCCATCTTAGTCCTTACGGGTTCTCGCATCTGCATTTTGATTCGGTCCAAAGCATCCACTTATCATCACGTGGGCTGTGTGCTCTTTTGTAATGCTATTTTACAAAAATAATATCCAAAATAATAATCGAACGCTTCATCAAAAATAAACTCATTGTTATTTAATAAATTATGGTAAATCAAGAATTATCACTTCGAAATTTTTAGTTTACTTACCTATAAAATGTAAATTTTCAAGCATGCCAAATTGTAACATTAAGTAAAGTTGATGTATGATGGCAACATCTCTGATTTGTTTACAATTTATATTTTTTAAGATGCTTACATACTCACTATCCATTCAAAAATTCTTACAAGTAGGTATTATACTTTCAAATAAAGAATGAATTTGTACTGGGTAACTACAAACCATAAGCTTATATAATAAGTCCATATCAATGGTTTAACTAGTATAAAGTTTAATTTACTTTTATAAACTTAGTTCAGATAAAAATGCAAATAATGCAATATATATATATATATATATATATATATATATATATATATATATATATATATATATATATATATAATACTAATAATACTGTAATAACACTTACGACATTTCACATTTGTTTACCCATAAAACATGCTTAAGCTTTTGCTCCGCTGTGATTTTATTTAATTCTGCTGCCTCTCTCATTGCCCGTACAACTTGACGTTCCTCTTTCAAAGTCTCCAGTTTCAGCATCTTTTCAGTATTAGAGTATCTATGTAATGTAATAAGCAGGTATGTATACAATGCTATTTTATTTAATATAAAACATAATGCACACACACTAAACTAAGATATGAATTTTGTATCAGAATTTTTAGTTAATATACTAAGTATTTGATTATTCAACACAATTCAACAGCCTGCACTTGTTTTTAATTACTACTATAAACTTGTCTAATTACTTACTTGAAAAAATCTTGAAGTTCTTTATGAAACGGATTGATATTAAATCCATCCACAATTGTCATATCGGTCATAATGCTAACATTTTTCTTAGACTTGTCCTTGTTTTCTTGGTTTATTTCAGTGTTTTCTTGGATTATTTCAATATTTTCTTGGTCAATAGTTTCAGATATTTGTTCAGTAACGGATGGTGATGATGTGAGAATATTAGTGTCATCTATAATATTTTGTCTATCTTGACCAAATGAATGAAAGCCATTAAGGCCACTACAACCAGGCTGAATCATTTCTCTGTAATAAATACATTGGACCTTAGTTGCAGTCTAGAACTGATTAATATTGAAAAGTGATATTGTTTTAAAACTATAACACTAATTTATTGGATTAAAAATGTAGGTAGGCACTAGTTCAAATTTTACTTTTATTTGGTAGGTATTTAATAACTACATTTTATTTACAAATATGAATATAAGTTTAGAAAGTTTTAAATATATAACTATAATTTTGGCTATAATACATTAATAACTGAATAATTATGTCTAAAAAGTTAAAAATGGGTAGAAATACTTTAAAAAAAATACCATAAATTTTACTTACTCATCTACAGTTTCTGACTTAATTTCAACATTAGTACTAAGTATTGTGTCACTGAAGTTTTCATTATCCTTTTTAAATTCTCCATCTTTCACTAATTCCAAAATATTGCATACCTCTAATGATTGTCGTGTATACTTTTGTGCATCCATTCCGCTTTGCGATATTTCCTCGCGTGCAATACGTTTCATATTTTGCCACTGCGTTTTCACCTTTTTTATTGAGCTCTCCGAAAACTTATTACCGAATTTAGCAACTAATTCTCTTAAAATTTCATTCCAAGCTACATCCTTTTCTTCAGAATGGTTAGGCCCGTTGTTATTTTTGGTAACGATTACCTCTTTGCGTTCCTTAATTAACTCTAGAAGAAACTGTTTCTCATCAATTGACCAGTTAGGAGTCCTCGATCGACGAGTAGTAATTTTTCTCATTTTCAGGGGCACTTTAGGTGGAACGTGATTAATCTTTTGCAACGATTTGTTGCAAACGATGCACTCAACGTCCAAAATTATCGATTTCCACATTTAATAAACAATTGAACTACGAAAAATAAACGAAGATATTTGATTTGACAAGTTGCGACTAACTGCAAGAATGCTAATAAAAAACTATTTCCGAATGAAGTTTTCATTAAAACTATTTTTATTTTTAGGGACTAGAAAAATTAATTAAAATATTTTCAATGATGCAACGAATAAGATCGTCAAAAAAGTAATTATAGTAAAAGAAATTGTTCAATTGACTGATTATAAGTTCACACAGCGCGAAAATTAAGTTGGCTTTTACGATTAAGATATTAAAAAAAAAGATACACATAGTCCTGAGACCAATAACACTTTTTTATTCGACTGAGTGTTGTAAAAATACGTACCTACATCATTCTTCACCAATAACTTTCTGTTTTTCATCAAAGCAAAAGCAAATGCTGTTGGAAATTGGTCTTTGCCATTATATAGGAGTTTTACCATAATCTGTCAATATCGCTATTCGCCACGATTAGCAGACAGATTAGTAATTGCTGTGACAGACGTTTCAACGTTTTTTAACCGTTTTCGAAAAAAAGAGGAGGTTCTCAGTTTTTATAATATATGTTATATGTATGTATGTTATACCCTCTCAGAAAAGGAGGCCTGTGCCCAGCAGTGGGACGTATATAGGCCGTAACTTTACTTTTATGTTATACCTAGCATAACTTCTTTGTTTATGAACCAATTTAAATGACTCATTTTTTGTGGTAAATACTAAATAGGTTATATTTCAGAGGTGGTCCCCTGAATGTGGTTGAAGATGGAAAATAGGGCACGAAGATTTTAATGCACCTATTTAGGTTAAATTCTAGTTTTTTTTTACTTTTTGTAAGCCAGTGCTTGGCCACAACCCCACCAGGTGGTAAGTGATGATGCTGCCTTAGACGGTAAATCGCACTGTCTTAGCGTAACAAAAGCCTTCACTCTTGCCTTGAAGAGGCCCAGATTGTATTTGGACCGAAAGATAGACACCGGCAAATTATTCCACTCCTTTGCTTTACATTAGAAAAGTCGAAGTAAATCGATTGATTCTTATGCGTGGAATATCAACAACAAAGGGGTGAAGACCCGCCAACCGCCTGGTCGTCCGATGATGGAAAGGAGAGTGAGGAATTAAAGCGTGCAATTCCTGCGCACACTCTCCTTGAACTTGTGATATTCCTCAGAATTCTCAAAAGGGTAAACAAAAATCTTTGATCAAAAGTCAAAAGCTTTTGAAGAAAAACTTTTTTAATTGAATGTTTAGTTTCGACGATGCGCCTCATTGGTCTTACCGTCATCTGTTGGAAGTCTTGTGACTTTACTGCTAGGAGTAATAGTGTTCTGTGCTTTACTGTCAATTTAATTTTCATAAATTCAGTGATATAGCTGTATAGCATTTCAGTTGATGGTAAGTGGCTACTGCAGTCTATGCATGCCGACATCTATTATAATATATGGGAACTACTAAGTATAGGATCGTGTTTCTACTTAACATGAAGAGGTACCTACTGTTTTGTGTTCCCTATATTGCTGCTATAACCTCGACTTATTAAACGTATCAAGAATATTATTTAATATAGTTATAACAAAATTACATGAATTCAGATGAATATGCATATTTTATATTGGTGTTTAAAAAAAGAAACGACTATGGGAAATGTCGGAAAGACCGTGGCTGCCAACGGGTGGCAGCAGTATACAATTTTTTATAGTTTTATTCATTCGTTTGGTCGACCACCAACAAATTTCCATAGAAGTTTTCTGAACAGGAACTCCAGAGTGTGTGATTTCAATAACAATTTCAATGGCAATTATTTGCTTTGATGTATTATATTACAAGATCTATGGTATCTATGGGGAATGAAACAATCGCGAATGATATGTCGGTGTAAAAATTATTTAACTAGACCCGCGGCTTCGCCCGCATGGTCACTGGGAAATAAAGTATCCATTGCTTTTTGAATTGAAATAAAACTGAGTTTTGTAGATTTTTCAGACATGCAGCCATTAAAAGGAAACTATTTAAATGTTTTGAAACGCAGCGTATAGGAAAGCATGAAAATAGCCTGTTTATTCCAAATGGAAATGGGATATTTTTTTAATTAAAGGAAACTGAGCATAATTATCCGTCAGGTATTTAATAAGCTAGACTAGACAAGACTAGATGTAAAATATTCAGACCGGTAATGGCAAGCAGTATTGTACTACAATTGTAATTCGCCAACTTAGCGGTCAAGGTAATCGGCCCATGTTAGCAGTGGGCTCAGAAATAAAATATTATTATCGATATCGATTGCTGTATATTCGTTTCTTCTGATTCGATGCAGATGATGTAAATGAATATTTTTACCCAACTACGGTGAAGCCAGTAGAACCAGAGTAACCATCGTAGCCCAACGGATTAGTAAACTGAAGTGGCAATGGGTCGGCCCACATATGTAGCTCGAAGAACCGATAACCGATGAAGAAAAAGATCCTTGAGTGGCAGCCTCGTACCGGCAGTCGAAGTGTAGGGCGTCCCCTCACTAGATGGAGTGACGACCTGGTAAGACATGTACGAAGTCTGTGGATGCAGGTGGCTCAGGACCGTGCTTTGTGGCAATCCATGGGGGAGGCCTATGTTCAGCACTGGACTTGCGAAGGGTTGTAATGATGATGATGATGATGATGATAATGAAGACTTGCTCTTGGATTGTTGCTCACACTTGCGTGTAGCTGGATGACGTGTACATCTGCCCGTGGAACTTCTCAATTTTACTCAAAATCTCATTATCAACATCTCATCAGAAACAATACTTTCACATTCGGTCGTCAGCTTTGACAGTTGAGTCTTTCTGGCAGCCAGATCTCTGGTAAAGATTTTGGAGTCTTGCTTCTTCTCCATCGCTTCTTCAATACTTAAATGGATGGGAAAAATTATCACTTTTTATACTATTAATCATCTGAATGCAAGGCAATTGAATTTAAAATAACTACAAATACGTCAAATACTACTGATTTTATTCTTATTTTTTGTATATAAATATCAAAGCAATGTCATCAAAGCAGTTAAATTAGGTACACTAACAACAAAATTCTCTTTCAGTGCTGACATCTATTATAATATATGAGAACTACTAAGTGTAGGACCGTGATTCTACTCAACATGAAGAGGTAGTGTTTTGTGTTCCCTTTATTGCTGCTATGACTTCGGCTTATTAAATGTACGGTTCAAGAAGATTATTAAATATAGTTATAACAAAATTACGTGAATTCAGATGAACGTGCATATTTTATATTGGTGGTGTTAAAAAAAAGAAACGACTACGGGAAATGTCAGAAAGACCGTGGCTGCCGATAGGTGGCAGCAGTATACTATTTTATAGGTTTAATTAATAAGCTAGACTAGACTAGATATTAGATGTATAGAGATTGACATTATCGATAAGATGTTATCGAAATGTTGTTATATATGTTGTTATTGAAATGCATGCAGCCCTGTTCAACTTAATAATATTTTATTAATTTTTAGGGTTCCGTTAATATTCTTCGTATCGTTTGAATAAAAATGATTTTATAGAGTTAGGGTGACAAACGAGCATTCACTCCGCCCGATTAGTGGATGGTGAGGCAGATTTTTACTAAATATTTATGTTCGACAAAAATGGATGAAAATAATAAAAATAGAAGGGTTCTCAAACGACAATTTTCGTCTATATGCAGCAAGTAATTTTCTCATAGAGGTGCATTCAACCATAAATGCTTATTAATAAAATTACATATTGAAACCTTTTTTTATTATTAGAATAAGGTATATCTATGGTAAAACTGCCAAATGTCTTTAAGGAGAGCTCACAAACTTTAACCACAAATTAGTTATCTTTGAAGTATTCTAAAAAATTGACATCGTAGCCTTGTTTAATACATTTTTAGTACGCGTTTCCTGTAGCAGATTAGTTTTAGTTAATAACTTTTAAATTCTCTACACATCATAACACGCATATAATTTTTTTATAACAGTGTTTCTCTCGGCGTAGTCTATATTATGTATGAACTAAGTGGTAGGACCCCATTACTGTCCGGTAGGTCGTTGGAGTAGGTATCAACCTCTTACCCAGTACCGGTGTAAATACAGGCAGTAAAGTATTTCATTTCGGTACATAGAGATGAAAACGAACTTCTTTGCTGTAAGTTGCAAGTTTCCATGGGCTGCAGCAGCCACTTACCATCATCATGTGGACTGTAAGTTAGTTAGTTTTATAAAAACACTTTAACTAATAAATACTAATATAGTTTTTATTTTTTATTACCTACACGTATTTTTGGAATTTCGAGAATATTCTGAATTACGCCATTTACTGGATACACGGACACGATATATCGGTATTTATTTCATTTTTGGCAGTACTAATATGTAGGCAACAAGTCGCCATGTTAATTTTTATGTGACTTTATGCAACCTAAAACGCGAAAGAACACAATGCTTTTAAAGATTTTGTCAAAATACGATGAGTAGTTTAGAAGATCTGATCGAACAGATGAACATAGAATCTTCTAAAATTGTAAATATCCTGTTGGCTTCGCCGTAGTTGGGTAAAAATATTCATTTACATCACCTGCATCAAATCAGAAGACACGAATATACTGCAATTAGGGTTTCCAGATTGGAAGACCAAAATATCTGGATAAAATTTGTAAATGTCGGGATTTTGGGGTTGTTGTCGGGAGAAATAAATGTTAAAAATAAAAATGTAAAACAAAAATATTATTTTTTTAAATTAATGGGCTACAAATGTACTTAACATAATTGACAGATAATTAATGTAACTAGGTACACTTAATTTTGGGGTTCCTTTAGTGGAATTCAGAAAAGATTTAAAATTTAAACAATTTTCGTCAAAGTTCAGTCGTCAGTCAACTGAGTCTATTTTAAATCGTTCTCATATATATATACTCTAGCTTGCCAGGCAGACGTTGTTTCTACCCTTTTCGACCCTTTGTCATGTGCTATTAAAAATCTTTAAATTCCCATAAAA